TTGGGAAACTTTTATTTGAACTATTTGGCACAGCTAAGTGTTTCCCAGCCTTGCTCTCAAGATAGCGGGTTATGCAGCCTTATCTTTGGCCGTGAAAACTTTGTACAAAACGCTTGTCATCGGCCCTTTGTAGTTGAGTCACAGGCTAATGTGTCCTTCTCACTAACAGATGAGCAGTACAGATTCAAGGTCTAACTTACTTATCCTCATCTTTCCTTTATTTCTTGAGAACGCAAAATGTATTTTGACACTTTAGTTATAGAATATCTATTATTCATTGCTTTTTCTTCTTTTTTAACACATTTTAAAAAATGTTCTTTGGGGCCAGCAGGTGGCATAGTGGTGAAAGTGCTGGACTCCCACATAGCCAACAGTGGTTCACATCCTGGACCTGGCAGCTTCAAATAATCATTCAGGGAGGGACCAGCAGTTAGCGTAATAGCTATGTTGATGAACTCCCACATAGTCGACCACGGTTCGAATCCCGGGCCTGGTGGCTTAAAAGTCACGCCGGGCACGTGTGCGTGCATGCCCAAGATCCCGAGAAGAGAATGGAGGAGAAGGAAATGCGGCGTGGCCATCCCCCCTGGGGGTGATTTCTCGCTTTCTGTCTCTCTGTCTCTCTCTGCTGTCTGGTGAGCAGACGTGCCCTATCACAAAAAAAACTCTAAAAAAAAAAAAAATCATTCAGGGAGGGACTGGCAGGTGGCATGGTGGTAAAGGACACTGGGCTCCCACATGGCGACTATGGTTTGTGTCCCAGACCTGGCTGCTTGCTTTCTCTCTCTGTCTCTCTCATCGAATTTAAAAGTAAATAAATAAAGTTAAATAGAATAATTATTTTTAAAAATGCAGGGTACATGTGCATTCATGCCCAAAATACTGAGAAGACAATGGAGGAGAAGGGATTGTGGCATGACCATCCCCCCCATAGGGGTGACTTCTCATTTTCTCTTTCTCTTTCTCTCTCTGGCAAGTGCACGTGCTTTATTCCAAAAACCTAACAACAAAAATTTAAATAATAATAATAAATAAAATAAAATAAAATAAAATAATTATTTTGTAAAAAGTAATAGCTGTAAAAGCTATAAAATATCTTTTACACTGTACATTTCAAATAAAAAAGGGGGGTGGGAACCAGCAGTTAGCGTAATGGCTATGGGCTCCCACGTAGTCGACCGTGGTTCGCGTCCCGGACCCGGTGGCTTAAAACTCACGCTGGGCACGTGTGCGTGTGTGCCCAAGATCCCGAGAGGAGAATGGAGGAGAAGGGATTGCGGCGTGACCATGCCCTCTGGGAGGTTATTTCTCACTTTCTGTCTCTATGTCTCTCTCTGTCTGTCTGGCGAGTGCACGCACCCTATAGCGAAAACCTGTCCAAAAAAGTAAAAGGGGGGGAGAATAATTCCTTTTTTTAAAAAAAAAAGATCTGAATAGCTAACCGCTTCTGGGTTTTTTTAAAATAATTATTTATTCAATTTTATTTATTCTTTCATTTGACCAGAGAGAGACACAGAGAGAGAGAGAGGGAAAGTGAGAAAGCAAGCCATCCGGTCCAGGACTCAAAACTGTGGTCAGGCATGTAGGAGTGTCTAGCACCTTAACCACCACGCCACCTGCTGGCCCCCAGAAATAATTCCTTTTAAAGTAATACAGAAAGAATAATAGAATCCCAGATATAAGAAGACAAAGTCTGTGAGCTCACAGATGACATTCATCTGCCAGGATAGAGAAATCTGTCAGGAGCTAACCGTCTTCACTTGCTTCCTTCAGCCAAGTGCTCTTGAGCTGCTACAGTGGGGCCAAGTGCCCTGGGCAGTACCCTGCAAATTACTTTTCCAGCCAGGAAAGACTTCTGCCTCTCTACATTCATGGCCAATTCACAGCCATCTATCAGGCTTTTTACTGATGCAACTGATTTTAATGGCTAAATGTTTATTAAATATTTAGTACATGTACCATTCTACTTTCAATGATATTGCTGAACAGAAGTTTTACCTTTATTTTATTCTGTTATCTATACAAAAGTAGTGGCAGCTTATATCCAATGTGAAGATTAATTAAACATACAAAAGTAAAGTGTACATCTCCATTTTGAACTGAGAGCACGTTTAAGGGGATTGTACTATTATGAGTTAGAAATTCAAAATTTAAGAGATAGTATGATCTGGAGGAGAAAATAGACTCAAGAGTCAAGAGCCACAAGGCTTGGGGACCAGCAGTTAGCATAACGGCTATGTCGTTGGACTCCCATGTAGTCGACCACGGTTTGCGTCCCGGACCTGGGGCTTAAACTCACACCGGGCGTGTGTGCATGCATGCCCAAGATCCCAAGAGGAGAACAGAGGAGAAGGGATTGTGACATGGCCATCCCCCCTGGGCAGTGATTTCTCGCTTTCTGTCTCTCTGTCTCTCTCTGTCTGTCTGGCGAGCGGACGCACCCTATAGCAAAAACCTCTTCCAAAAAAAGCCGCAAGGCTCAAGAGTCACACTGGTATACTCTGAATCCTATCTTGCTTATTTCCTACTTATCTATAGCCGCACAAATGACATAATCTCTCTAAGCCTATATCTTCATCCATAAAATGGGGGACTGGCCTGTAGCCCAGCAGTTAAGTGATGTACATAAGAAAGTCAAAGCCACAGGACCAGCAGATGGTGTAATGGTTACATCACTGGACTCCCACATGGTCAGCCAGGTTCGAGTCCAGGACCTGGTGGCTTAAAACTCACACTGAAACGGAGAAGGGATTGTGGCATGGCCATCTGCCCTGGGGGTGGGTGGTTTTTCTCTTTCTGTCTCTCTGTCTCTGGCGAGCACACATTCCCTGTAGCAAAAATCTCTCTTAAAAAAAAAAAAAAAGCTGGGACCAGCGTTAGCGTAATATCTATGTTGCTGAACTCCCATGTAGCTGACTGCGGTTCGAGTCCTCGACCCAGTGGCTTAAATTCACACCAGGCATGTGTGCATGACTGCCCAAGATCTCGAGAGGAGAATGGAGAAGAAGGGATTGCAGTGTGGCCATCCTCCCTGGAGGGTGATTTCTCGCTTTCTATCTCTCTGTTTCTCTCTGTCTTTCTGGCGAGCGCATGTGCCTTATAGCAAAAACCTCTCCCCCCCTCAAAAAAAAAAAGCTGAATCCCAAATGGCCAACTATGGTTTGAATCCCAGCCCCGGCACCTTGAAAAATATGTTTACAGGGCCAGCAAGTGGTATAGTGGTTAAGGCACTGAACTCCCACATGGCTGACCATGGTTTAAGTCCCAGACCCAGCGGCTTGAAACTCAACACCGGGCCTGTGTGTGTGTGCCCAAAAATCCCAAGAAGAGAATGGAGAAGGGATTGCAGTGTGGCCATCCTATCAAAGGGTCATTTCTCACTTTCTCTCTTGTTGTCTCTCTGGCAAGTGCACACGCCCTATAGCAAAATGCTCTCTCTTTAAAAAAGAAAAAAATGATCCTGACTGGATGGAGAAATAGAGGAAAAAGGACCACCACACTTCATTGGGGTAGAGGGTTCTCTCTCTGGCAAGAGCACACCACACCGGAGTGGAGGGGTGGGGTGCCTCTCTTTCTCTGGCAGTAAAAAATATAAGGACAATATCAACTTTGAAATCTTGGAAGAATTCAATTATACCTCCTATTAGGTAAGCAGAAAAATTTTGTCTTACTAACATTCTATTCAACTCTTCCCTACCTCCTCTTGGGGGAAAAGAAAACACAGAACCCTAAATTCCCAGAATAATGGTCAATGTTTTCAGTAAATAAAATGTCATGTGCAAAATGACTGCCAAGAAAGTACTTTGGAGGAGAGTAGCAGGGGCAACTCCTAGTCAGTTTGATAATCACCTTAGTTATTAATTCTATGGTAATTAAATCTCAAAGTAAAAAACTTGGAGATGTTCCTCAGTATTATAATAGAAACATTATTTGTATAACTAGCAATGAAACCCAGAGACCAGGAAAAATTCCCTCATTCTATGGATTAAAATCCTCTGTAAAGAATATCTGTACTTAAGCCATTAAAAAGTTAGTATGGTAAGACATTACTTAGGTGATGGGCTTTTAATGTCCGTTTTCCTAGGGTTTGAAACCTGGAGGAGCCTTCAGAATGAAAAATCCGATCGGCTAACAGAGATTTGAGCCAAGTTAATTTCAGAGGCTGTGCCAGACCACCTCCGGACACCGACAGACACCAACCGGTGTCTGGAGCTGTAAAATCGACCGCGGTGGTGTGAACGCGATGACAGTTGTCGGCCACGTGGCCCTCCTACGTGGAAGCAGGTGGAACGCATGGTAGAAGCGAGAGCTTCCCTTACTCGGCAGCCTTCCCGCAAGCTCTGGGGTTCCCTTCTCACTCCTCGGAGCGCGGTGAACCAGAAAGGGTGAGTTTGGAAAAGGTTGGTCAAGAATCGCTCTCCCACCCCGCCCCAGCAGTCCCCTCCCACGGTGGCGTCCAGGATCACAAGCACCAAAGGCCAGGGAAACGCATCTCAGCACCCAACGCGCAGCAGGGACCCCTGAGAACCTCGGGTGCACGTCCACAGCGCAGTCACTAACAGGCACTACTCCCGGAGCGGTGTGCGTCTACCTAGGACCGGAAGAAATTCTTTAGAAACCAGACAAGGTGGGAGTCGGACGCTACCGTGGGGCCAAAGCGCTCTCACCCTGGGCATAGGGAGAGAAATCTCGGGCTCATTGTTTGGCAACCCCTCGGCCAGACTGATCTGCTCCTATCAGTCCATCCCTGGGACGTAGCCGCCCCGAAACCCCAAGAGTGCAGAGGGACTGTCAGCCCCACTCACCTGTCAGCTCTGAAGGCGGGCTCGAGGCAGTCTGCTGGGAAAACCACCCAGCGCGCCTGTGCGCGCGGTCCCTCGCCCGCTCGCCACGCCCCGTCACGCCACTAGGGCCCGCCCACCTCGCGGGGCCGGCCGCTCGGTCTCAGTCCCGGCGCCGGCTCTCCTCAGCCTGCGCTGCCCCCTTTTTTTCCGCGCGCTCCCCGCCTCGGAGCTCCACACACAGACGTCCAGCGCTCAGGCGGGGGCGGGAGGCGGAGCGGAGCGTAGGGGGCGGTGTCGCCGCGGTCGAGGGGCGGTGGCGGCGGAGTCAGTGGTCGCTGCGCGATGGCCGCCTCGGCGTGGTGCTGCCTACGGTGCTGCAGGGACGGCGGGAGCGGCCACATCCCTCTGAAGGAAATGCCGGCCGTACAGCTAGACACACAGCACATGGGTAAGGGCCCTCTTGCCCCCGTCCCAACGGCCCACTTGGAGCGGGCGCGCCTGGCGGAGTGGTGCGGGGTCGCAGGGGGGCCACAAGCCACCCCGTTCGCGTCCCCGTCCCTGCCACACAGGCGACGCTGGCCCCGGCACCTCTTGGTCTCGCGGGCCTCCCAGCTGCCGTGTCCCACCGGGCCCAGTTCTGCGCTCAAGGCTGCGCAGCTCTGTGCGCCTGTTGTCGGGAGTGGGTGTGTTTACCGTCCCATTTTCCCAGGAACCCCCTCCGAGCTGCCCCCCCGGGAGGTGTCAGCATCCCCAGCGAGGCTGTGGTGCCCCTCCTACAGTGCCCGCCTTTGCTCTGCAGTCAGAAACTACACGTTTTCAGAATACTTTAGGCTTGGTTTTGTTCCTTATGCCCTGACAGTCGGTTATTTCTCTTTAGCCCCATCATTTATAGGCTGAAGCTTGTTTTATTGGAAGTTATTTTCCTTTCCCCTCCTACAGTGAAAACAAGGCAGATTGCAGAAACCTGAACTAACTCAGGTCAGAACGTGCCATTTCAACTAAAACCTCCTAATGACCGACTCCTCCTTAGTCACGGTTAGAGGTGCTGTAATTTCATCTGGCCTTTTCCCAGCAGGTCAGATTATTGCAAAATAAAATAGTACTTTGCTCCTTTGCATCTGTTTTTTTTTTCCCCTTCCAATTCCAAATGGCCATATAACTTACCTTGTAACATTTCTTTCTTTCCCTTCTGTATTCTCACTCATGACTTTATTATACCTGCTCTTGTGCTTTTTTATATTGTTTCATGGTCTTGGAATATGTAGGAGAGATTACCCCATAAAATTATTTTTTTTGAGACTTTTTTGCTATAGGGCGCCTGTGCTAGCCAGACAGAGAGAGATAGAAAGCGAGAAATCACCCCCCCAGTGGGGATGGCCACGCCGCAATCCCTTCTCCTCCATTCTCCTCTCAGGATCTTGGTCACGCACACACACGCGCCCGGTGTGAGTTTAAGCCACTGGGTCCGGGACTCAAACCATGGTCGACTACGTGGGAGTCCAGCGACAAAGCCATTACACTCACTGCTGGTCCCACCCCATAAAATTATTTCAGAGTACTGTCCTTTAAATATATATATTTATTTCTTCAGAGAGAAAGAAAACCTCCAAACAGGATCTTGGCACAGCAATCTGTCCCCCACCTTCAGCCAACTTGGGGTCATGGGCAAGGGAACCCAGCATGCTCAAGATGTCCTGATGCCAACGGAGAACCTTCCCATGTGGGATGGCCCCACAGAGCATCCAGTTTAACCCTGTGCTAAACTGGCCTCCAGAGTAGTCTTTTTGTGGATTATGTTATTCTAAATATACTTCCATACTTTCATTTTTCTCACATCTTATTGTCAAAGAGACAATAACTAATATCAATAGCAATTCTTAATCTTTATAGCAAAATCCTGCCCAGATTCTTTATAATTCTGGTATCACTGTGCCCATTATATTTCTGTAGCCTGTACTAAGTACTATAATTGTGTACCCTTTGTCCCTAGGTATTTTAATTTCTAGATCTCCCAAGTGTAGTACAGAACCTTAATAAGTAAATGAATATTTATTACCCATCATCATTTGTTGACAGTACACATTCAAATCCTATAATTTCCCTCAGAAAATATTTCTATTTCATTCATTAACTGGTATTTATTGAGTGATTATCAGATTGAAGGCATTGTTCTTAAGTGCAGGGAATACAGTGAAAGACAACAGTGCATAGTGCCTGATCAACTTCAGTTCTCCCTGTCTCTGCTGTTAGACCCTTGAATGAATGCAGTCAGTTCTTTAGAGCATTTCTTTTCTCTGGGCTCTGTATTTCCAGGGAAGATCTAGTCAGTTGTACTCCTTCCACTATATTTTCTTGTCATCAAAGCTGCCTTGCCACTTTCGGCTACTAGCTAGATGAAGTAATGTCACCCCCAAATTTTCTACTTGCATGCAAAGTTTTTCTTAACCTGTCTTCCAGTAAATTCAAATTCTTCAATTGCAGAAAAGCCTGATATGAGACCTGAATAAAATAAAAGAGAGGAAAGGATCGTTGAGTTAGAAAAAGAGTATATCTTATGCATGAATTAATCTTAAATTGAAAATAAGAAAAGAAAATATGGGAGGGATCTTCATAAAGGTCTTAGAAAATGCGTATTATGGAAAAATATGTGTAGATTTCAAAAAAATTTTGCACTAGAATAAACTTGTATTTTAAATTTTATTTTCTTTTTTTGGAAACAGTCTATACATTTCGTATTTCAAATGACATTTCTTTCAGAGTTGTTGCTTATTTGGCTGATTTGCAGTACTTAAAACTATTTTAGAATTCTTTTTTTGGAATTTTCTGTGATCTACTTCTTATAAATATCTTTATTGATGAGATTCTGTGTTTTTAAATGTGAATTGAAGTTTTGGAAATAAATATCTTCCAAGACAGCTATTTTGAAAGGGTTGCCAGTCATTTGGAAATGTCCAGTGTTTCTTAAAACAAACTCTATGGCAACCTTTATATGGTGTTCTGACTGTACTCAAATTTCTAAGTAGTACCAGTGACACAAATTACATAGATCCAATATATAATATCTTTGTGGATAATAAAAATGAAATAAGATAAGCTTAAAGTGCATACTTAGTAAGTCACAGACACACCAGAATATTCTCTGAATATATTTACATTTCTATATAAAACATCTCCCCATCTAACAGTATGCTTTTGAGATAAATGATATTGAAGTTAAGAGAATACCAGTCGCAGGGTTGTTTCTGTGGTTCCAACTTGTAGAGCAGACTATGTTGCATTGACAGGCCTCTAAGACTTGCATTAACTCAGCCCCTTAGAATGATATCTCAGAAAATAAATTATCTTATTATCTTAGAATACTGGAGAAGCTTGTTACTAGGTTTTACTAGGTACAGGGACCACAGTTTATTGCCAATTAAGGAAAAACACTCTTTTGTTTTATATAATTCTTGGAAATATGTTCACTTAGAATGCTTTTAGTAACAAGTAATAAAAACTGCAATTCAGGGGGCCAGCAAATGGTGTGGTGGTTAGGGCATTGGTCTCCCACATGGCCAACCGTAGTTCAAGTCCTGAGCTTGGAGACTTCCTTTCTCACATTTCCTCTCTCTCTTTCTCTCTTTTCCCCCCCCTCTCTCTGGTAAGCATGCATGCTCTATAGCAAATTTAAAAATATAATTAATTAAATAATTCTAAGAGAAAAGAAAAACTACAATTTAGAATGATTTAACATGAGGGCTGGCCCTATAGCATAGTGGTTAAAAGGGGACCAGATCCCCCATGGCCAATTACATGGTTTGAGTCCCAGACCCAGAGACTTGAAAAATATTCCAGGCCCATGTGCATACATGCCCAGTATCCTGACAGGATGGAGAGATGGAGGGATTGTGGCAAGACCACCACCTTTGGTAAGGGATGCATTCTTTCTGCCTGTCTCTGGTGAATACATATGCACTCTGACAAAATTTAAGGGGAAAAAAAAGAAGAAAAGAAATGTATTGGTTCATGTAACCAAAAACCACAAAGGTAATACCGACTTCAGGAAAGATTCAGTGCTTCCAAGAACAGCTTGTTTTTGTTTTGTTTTGTTTTGTTTTCCCCCGCTGTCTTCTGCTGCTTATTTGCTAAAGGTTGTCTTCCATTACCGCTTGCAGAAGCTCCATGGGCTTAGGCTTTGTTGTTCAGGTCCAGCAATAATGAGAGTGTCTTTATCCCATCATTCTCTGCAGAAGTCCTGAGACTCATTCTGTTTGTGGTTGATTAGGTCATATAACCGTTCCTGACTCAGTCACTGGCTGAGCAATGAAGAATGCACTGATTGACTTAACTTAGGTCAGATGTTGTACCTCTAAAGCCAGAGATTGAGTCAGCTTCCTCGGAACTGGTTTGATCTCCAGAGGAAAGGTTTGACAGGAAAGGAAAACAGATACTACATACTTAGTACAAAGTGCTTAGCACAGCATATTTATCCATTCATTTTTCTATCAGTTATTAGTTAAGTGTCTGCTGGATGCCAAACACTGTATAGTCTTCGCACCAAGAAGGATGCTGTCCACTTGCAACTAATGGTGGTACATGGGGAAACTAGGTACAAATTATTTATAAAGGAGCTTTTCCAGAATTGGATGTTTAACACTTTTAATTAAAAAAAAAATGATGCTAATGAGTTTTTAATAATCTTATAATAGGATCTTAGTTTTGCCTTATTTAAGAGCGAGTATCTCTATTTTTAAGCTTTGTGGATTTTTTCCCATCTTCTAAGAGCAAGCAAGACAGAGAGAGACAATACCCCCAACATGGTCTTGGTCCTGCAATCTACCTGCACCCTCAGTCAACCCTAGATCATGGGTACACGCATGCCTGGGAAGTCTCTGGATATGAACTCAGAACATTCTTGTTTGGGTCAGCCTCATAGAGCATTGTATTTTACTACCATGCCACTATGCAGCCCCAAGAGTATCTCTCAAATAATTTGGTTTAGGATTATGATAGAATCTGAAAAATTTACATTTCTCTCTTCTGTTTGTTCCAGATATTTGTTTCAAACAATTTTTTATTAAATAGGAACTCAATCTCTTGTTACCATGCCGTAGTGCTATTTAACCCCCTTTGGAAGAATTCCATTAGTTTTAGTATCCAGATGTGCTTGGCTTGTACACTTAGAGGTCATATTGGCCACAGGTCTTGAGAATCACATGTCTTGGTACTATCGGATATTACATTTTAGAATTATGGTAAGTCTCTTTAACATCATTAAATGTACTTTATTCTCATGAAAATTTTAGGTTTTAGCTCAAACAACATTTACAGATAAGAGATAGAAAAACATACCAGCACTAATTCATTATTTTTTTTAAAGTAAAGCATTTTATTTAATTGCACCAAGGTTATCTTAAGATAGTAACTAAAAAAAAAAGGCCTATATTTAAACTAGTGCCCTAAGATTTACGTTTGACGACCCACTGCAGAACGCTTACGCTTACATTATCACGTTGGTTTTCTTGATACCTTGTTACGTTTTCCATCACCCATCCACACAGTAAGCTTAGCTTCCATCTGGATCAAAACATGATGGTTCTTAGGTGCTGTAGCACTAATTGTGACAGAGTACCCCAAAATGGCCACACGACATTTAGCAGAAAACATGAGCTTCTTCACAGGAACATCAGGTGCACGGAACCCTTCCTTGAAGGCCCACAGCCCACATTGGCCGGGACTCCGAACCGCACGTGGCCAACCCGTGACCTAATGAACATCTACGTCCACTCTGGCTTGGGCTCCCCACCGCCCACTGCAACAAGAGTCTTGAATCACCTGCATTTTAGTTAGGTCAGTTGGTTTTCACCTAATAATTATAGCATAGAAAATACAACCCTACGCTCATACTTGATCTTTGCGTTTCCTGGAATGTTAAAAACAGCACTAATTCATTTTTAAATCTTGATTTAGGAAAGCATGATAAAACCTTGTTTATGTGTTTGCAAAATGATTAACAGTAGCTACATTTTCAAATTATAAAATTAGCATTTTTCAGTGTCAGGTATTTCAACATAGAGATATATTCCTTTCCGTATTCAGTGTATTCTTTGCTTCTTACTTGGCTGATGCATTAAGATAGTGCCTCATACTTAATAGACTTTAGCTGTTTTTTTTAGTAGATTGTTTTTATTCCTTTGAATACAATTGAGAATTAGACCAATTCACTAAAGTTTCTTTTTTCTTCTTTCTTTCTTCTTTTCTTTTTTCCCCTCATGCAGCATGTACACTCGTCACAGAGAGACTGAGAGAGGAAAAGTGAGAAATCACCCCCCAGGTGAAATGGCCATGTCACAATCCCTTCTCCTCCATTCTCCTCTTGGGATTTTAGCTATGTACCCATATGTGCCCATTGTATTTTTCAGGCCACCAAGTCCTGGACTCGACCACAGAGTTGGTCATGTGGGATCCAGCACCTTCACTGCCATGCCACATGTTAGCCCCTAAAGTTTCTTTTTTCTAACTTTATTAGCTTTGTTCATGATATGAGAGCACATGCGTATGTACATAATAGAGAGAAAAACCCTTGGTAGGTCTCATCACATCATGATCACTTTTCCCCAGCTCTCTAGCTCATCAGGATCCTGGACGTGCACATGTGCCCAGCATATTTTCAGGCCATCCTGGAGAGCCACACCTGCTGTCAGCCAAGTGCCTTTTAGTACTGCAGTTCAGTTTGCTAACAACTGTGCAACCAGTCTGGACCCAAATTTTCTTTTAAGCATTCACATTTTGGTTTAAATTAAGAATATATGAAATCATGGGACCAGCAGATGGTGTGGTGGTTAAGGGCGCTGGACTCCCACATAGCCGACCACGGTTCGAGTCCTGGACCTGGTGGCTTGCTTTCTCACTTTGTCTCTCTCGCTCTGTCCCTCTCTGGTCAAATTAAAACAAATAAAGTTAAATAAAAATAATTCTTTAAAAAAAAAAGAATATATGAAATCATCAAATTGGTTTATTGGCAAAAAATTGAAGAAATTAGTTTGTCTTTGCCATGTTTTAAGCATTGATATAATTCATAGTTATTATAGTTTATCTAAAACTCCTTTAACAAGACCTAAGAGTTACAAATGAATATTATTTATAAATATTCTCTCAGGAAAAAAAAAATGGTGACGTAGCCAGTATCATCCCGGAGTATGGAGCTGGACACCAAATGTTGACCACAGTTTAGATCCCCAGCTGGGTTAGCCTGAAAATATGCCAGGCACGTATGCATGTACCCAGGATCCTGGTGTACTGGAGGACCAGAGGAAGGGGATCATAGTGTGACCAAGCCCTATGGAGGGTTCTTCACTGTCTCTCTTTCTCTCTTATGCACACACTCTATTGTGATTTTTTTTTTAATTATCAGTATTTTTTTAAAGAATTATTTATTGATTTTTTTTTTTAGAGGTTTTCGCTATAGGGCGCATGTGCTCGCCAGACAGACAGAGAGAGACAGAGAGACAGAAAGCAAGAAATCACCCCCCGGGGGGATGGTCACATCGCAATCCCTTCTCCTCCATTCTCCTCTCGGGATGTTGGGCACGCACGCACATTCACCCGGCGTGAGTTTTAAGCCGCCGGGTCCGGGACGCGAACCATGGTCGACTACGTGGGAGTCCAGCGACATAGCCATTACGCTAACTGCTGGTTCCCGATTTTTTTTTTAATATGTTATAGGGCATGTATGCTCACCAGAGCAAGAAAAAGGAAGTGAGAAAGCAACCCTCCAGATCCAGAACTCAAACTATGGTCAGACATATGGAAGTCCAACACTTCCACCCATGCCACATGCTAACTCTAGGATTTCTATATTTTAAAGTACATATAACATCCCTGTTTTCTATAGATTAAAAGTTAGAAATGATTAAATTAACCCTGATTGTCAGATATGAAAACACAAAACTTTATGTAATGTCTGTTTTTGTTTTGTTTAGGAACAGATGTTGTCATTGTAAAAAATGGGAGACGAATATGTGGAACAGGAGGTTGTTTAGCCAGCGCACCATTACATCAAAACAAAAGCTACTTTGAATTTAAAATCCAATCCACAGGTTGGTAAGATGGTTCTTTACTATTTGAAGTCCTAATTGTTATAAATATTAAGAGAAATTTTTGATATGAGAAGGATAATAAAACACCAAATTCTTACTTAAAAGATCTGGGTCTTCTATCTTTTGTTACATGATTCTAGTTAGCTAATTTAGTTAAATTAGGTTCAGTTTTATATCTATAAAATGGGGATTATAGAAGCTGCTCTTTCTGCCTCATAGGAGCTGTGTGTATGAAAGTATTATTTTTGGTCTTGGTTTTGGTTTTGGGTGGTTTTTTGTTTGAGTTTTTGGTTTTTGCTAGAGGGCACATGTGACTGCCAGAAAGAGATAAGAGAGACAGAGAGAGAGGGAGAGGAGAAAGAATGGTCATGCAGTAATTCATTTTCCTCCATCTGTCCCGCCTTTCAGGATTTTGGGCCTGCACACACACGTGTTCTCCATATGTTTCTCAAGCCACCGGGTCCAGGATTTGAACTCTGCATTCAGCCAAGTAGGATCTGGCTGCCTTAACCACCAGGCCATAGAACAGGTCCATATATAAAAGTGGGTTTTTTTTGAAGATTTTTTGCTGTAGGGCACATGCATTTGCTGAAGAGAAGAGAGAGCAAGATAGTGAGAGGGGAAGTGAGAAATCACCACCAAAGGTGATTGGACATGCTGTAATCCCTTCTCTTCCATCCTCTTGGGATTTAGGGCATGCAGGCACACATGCCTGGCAGGATTTTCAAGCCGCCAGGTCTGCGACTAGAACCGCTGTCAGCCATACATGAGTCCAGTGCCTTAACCACTATACCACCTGCTGGCCCTGTGTAAAAGTATTTCAAAGATAGAATATGCTGGATCAATATAAGGTTCTAGCATTAATAGAATCTAGATGTACCATTTTCTTTCATTAAACACATAAGGTACAGACTCTTGCCATTTTATCTTTGGATCAGTTCAATCTTTTGATCTTGAGTTTTGTCTTAACTTTTGTTAATATACCCTATTCAGTGCCAGATCCATAATATAGTGGTTCAGTGCTATGTACTGGAAGCTGATTCCACGTAGCCTGCTGTGGTTCGAATCCTGGCCCTGATGACTTGAAAAAAGTCTTGATATATGTGCATGCATGCTCAAAATTATGAAAGAATTGAAAATGGAGGAAAAAGGATTATGACATGACTGTGCCTTATTACAGGGTACTTTTCTTCTCTCTCTCTGGTGAGTGTATACACTCTTGAACAATTAAAAAATGCAGGGAACCAGCAGTTAGCGTAATGGCTATGTCGCTGGACTGCCATGTAGTCTACCGCGGTTCGCGTCCCGGACCCAGTGGCTTAAAACTCATGCCAGGCGCGTGTGCGTGCGTGCCCAAGATCCCGAGAGGAGAATGGAGGAAAAGGGATTGCGGCATGACCATCCCCCCTGGCGGGTGATTTCTCGCTTTCTGTCTCTATATCTCTCTCTGTCTGTCTGGCATGCGCACGTGCCCTATAGTGAAAACCTCTCAAAAAAAAAAATGCACACATGCATGCACACACACACACACACACGCACACACACACCCTATTCAGTGTCTCCAGAAGCAGTCATCAGATTTAGAATTCTTTTTTTTTTTTAGAGATAACCCCTAGTATTTTTTTTTCAAGAATTGTTTTATTTATTTATTTATTTATTTATTTATTTTTAATTTGACCAGAAAGGAACAGAGTGAGAGAGGGAAAGTGAGAAAGCAAGCACTAAGTCCAGGACTAAAACCAGTCAGCCATGCAGGAGTCCAGTGCCCTTAACCACCATACCTCCTGCCAACCTTCAGATTTAGAATTCTGATAGAACTCTAAACTGTACTTTTCTTTCAAAAAATTTGCAGTTTCTTGAATTGTATGATAATTCTATGTGATTATTGTAACAGGTTAGTTAACTTGTGGCACTGCTGTATGTGAGGATTTTTTTTTTTTTTTTTTTTTTTTTGGGAAAGAAGTAGAGAAAGGGAGAGGAAAGGAGGTAGCCTCCATAGGGTCTTGTTATGCCATAGTCCTTCCCCATCCTCCCGTCTAGCATCATGGGTGCTTGCAGGCACATGCCCAGTGTGTCAGGTCAACCCAGGCCTCATATGACTCTAGTATCACACAGCAGTGCTCCACCCCCCACTCCAGACAGGGATTGCTTTCTCACTTTCCCTCTCTCAGTCTGTCTCTCTCTGGGCACCTGGGCCCTCTGCCAAATTGTAAATACATATATATTTTAGGGAATAATAATAGTGACGATAATAGTGAAATTTCTGAGTACATCCTGTGTTCTTTGCTTATGCATCTTTCTGAGTACTTACCACTGTTTGAGGTGTTTTACTTGGATTGTCTTATTATATCCATTTATAACCCTGTGAGGTAAGTACTGTTAGAATCTACAGTTCACAAATGAGGACAGAAGTTAAGTAAATTTGCCCAAGGTGACATAGCTGAGTCAGGATTTAAACCTCAGCAATATAAATCCAGGGCCCATTCTCTTTTGTTGTTGTTTGTTTTGCTATTGGGCACATGCACTCACCAGACAGAGACTAATAAAGAGAGGGAATAGGACCAGCAGATGGAGTAATGGTTATGTCACTGGACTCCCACGTAGTCAACCGTGGTTCGAGTCCTGGACCCAGCAGCTTAAAAAACGCACGCTGCATGGATATGCTTGTATGCATTCCCAAAATCCCAAGAGGAGATTGAAGGAGAAGGAATTGCAGTGTGGCCATCCCCAGGGAGGGTGATTTCTCATTTTCTGTTTCTGTTTCTGTCTCTGGTGAGCTCACACGCCCTATAGCAAAAATTTGTCTTAAAAAAAAAAGAAAAAGAGAGGGAAACGAGAAATCGCCCCTCAAGAGGATGGCCATGATGCAGTCCTTTCTTCTCCATTCTCCTCTTGGGGTTTTAGGCATGCATACACACATGCCCTTCGTGTTTTTCAAGCCATGAGGTCCGAGACTGGAACCTCACAGTCAGCCATAGGGGAATCTAGTGCCTTAACCTCCACACCATCAGCAGCTGAGCCCCAGGACCCACTTTTTTTTTTTTTTTTTGGAGAGAGATTTTTGCTATAGGGTGCATGCACTTGCCAGAGGGACAGACAGACAGACAGAAAGCAAGAAATCACCCCACAGACGGATGGCCACAGCTCAATCCCTTCTCTTCCATTCTCCTCTTAGGGTTTTGGCCATGTACACACATGCACCCGGGTGAGTTTTAAGCCGCTGGGTCCGGGATTCACACCACTGTGTGGGAGTCTAGCGACGTAACCATTACCCAGTCTGCTGTCCTGAGTGCAGTGGGCACTCTTATTTCCTCAGCTCACTACATCCGTAGAGAACAAAGTACAGTTTGCAGACTGCTTTTAAATGATCGTTTTTTTTTTTTTTTTTAAAAAGATGAACATAAAGAAGTAGTTATGGTGCTTCTTTTGAGAACAGTTTATACTCTCTTTTAAAGTAACTCCTTTCTTTTATATTAATATTCTTTAGATAATGAGGGCATTTAAATTCTTCCATTTTTAGGAATCTGGGGTATTGGTGTTGCAACTCAGAAAGTTAACTTGAATCAGATTCCTCTTGGCCGAGACATGCACAGTCTGGTGATGAGAAATGATGGAGCCCTATATCACAACAACGAAGAGAAAAACAGGCTGCCAGCAAACAGCCTTCCACAGGAGGGAGACGTGGTGGTGAGTGCCCTGGTGGAGTTATTCTCCACCGTAAGTTGCTGAACTTGAATTGCTTTTAATACATGCAGCTTTGTCTGGGCCTTTGCAGTTTGAATTTCACAGCACTGGCATTAGATCTACAAGTGGCACATCTTTCAGAGAGAGCATTTAGTGTAGATGCTGCAGCCTTCCCTAACCAGCCTCTCCGTTTTTAGAGCTGTCATTGGCCATGAGACTCCCCTTTCCCCTCAGAACTAATGACAGGTTGACTTCAGATCAACATTCCCTGCTTCTCTCATTTTAAAGAAGTACTGATACACAATTTTCTCAGAATTTTGGCTATGCACACACGCACATCATTTTTCAAGCTGCTGGTACTAGGATTTGAACTATGGTTGGCCGTGTGGGATCTGGTTCCCTAGGCACAGTGCTTAACCACTCTGCTTCAGGCCTGGCCCTGCAATTTGGAAAGTTTGCTGACCCCTATATTAGAGAATGTTAGGTATTGGGCCAGCAGGTGGCATGGTGGTTAAGGTGCTAGAATTCCCACATGGCTGGCCATGGTTTGAGTACCAGACCTGGCGGCTTGCTTTCAAACTTACTCTCTCTCTGTCTTTCTCTGGCAAAACTCATGTGAAAAATAATATTAACAATCATAGTAATAAATAATTCTTAAAGAAAATGTTAGGTGTTTTTCAAAGCTTATTACACCTCATTTATTATGAACTTCTTTTAGAAAATTATAGCATTATATCTGAAATGTTAGTCTTCATTAAACTTAATATAATTAACTTTTGTTTTCAGAACTCTTCAAAGACCTGGATTTAAAATTCTAAAGCTTAATCCTAGAAAAGTATTTTTAGAAAGCAGAGGTTAGGGGCCAGCAGATGGCATAATGGTTATGTTGCTGGACTCCCACATGGCCAACCGTGGTTCGAGTCTCAGACCCATTGGCTTGAAACTCATGCTGGCCATGTGTGCATGCATGCCCAAGATCCCAGGAGGAGAAGGGAGAAGAAGGGATTGTGACATAGCCATCCCCCCTGGGGGTTGATTTCTCACTTTCCTTCTCACGTTTCAGTCTCTATCTCTGGCGAACTCATGTACCCTAAAACAAAAACCTCTAAAAAAATATATAGAAAGCAGAGGATAGGAAGATTCACATGTAACCAAGATGTCAACTTCTCGATCTTTATTCCCGACAGGATATACTTATAATTTTTTTTTAGGTTTTTGCCATAGGGCATGTGTGCTTGCCAGAAAGAGAGAAAGACAAGAGATGGTGAGAGGAAAAGTGAGAAATCATTTTCCAGGGGGGTGGCCACAGCACAATCCTTTCTCCATTCTCTTCCTGGGATCTTGGACACGTACGCACATGTGCCTTGCATGATTTTCAAACCACCAGGTCTGGGACTTGAACCACAATTGGTCATGTGGGAGTCCAGCACCTTAACCACCAAGCCACCTGCTGGCCCCTGATCTCTTTTCTGCAATTTAAAAAATGCGAAGAATAGTTCTTAAAGTATTGGAAAAAATTTCCCGCTAAATTGACCAAAGAAAAAGAGGAAACAAAAGATATAAACCATTTTTAAAATCTGCTTTTATTCACTTTTTTTTTTAATAATTGACTCAATACTCGTGGATCTTTAGATGTCCAGAATATGGAACATCCTTATTCAAAAGGTTATTTCTTGAAAAGGAATCTTGAAGTCAAGTTGCTTCTGTCAGTCTATTTACCTAAAAGATGACCTTCAAATATAAGAAATGATAATAACAAATACTTTTCTTTGTTGATATACTGGACTTTTGCCATATGTTATTCTTGTCTTCCTGTCTCATCTCATTCATTGAGATGACTAATACCACAATTGACAGATTTTAAAAAGCCATTCAGTCTGTAAACGTTATTAGACTTTCAGTTTTTTGTTTTGTTTTGTTTTGTTTTGTTTTTAGAATTATTTATTTAATTTTTCAAGAGAGAGAAGGTGAGAAAGTAAGCCACCCAATCTGGGACTCAAACCATGGTCAGCCATGTGGGAGTATCCAGTACCTTAACCACCAAGCCACCTGCTGATGCCTATTCTGGTTAAAAAAAAAAAAACAACAACTGAAAAACCCAAAATATATGCACTCATTCAATCAGCCAATAAAAGCATTATCCTGCCATGTTAACTTTATCTCCCTATAAACACTTGAGAATACATTTTACCAGATTGTTGACAGTAACATAGGAAAAGTAGAATGGTTGATAAGATAGGAAGAACATCCTCATGTGTTCTTTAGTATCATTATAGCCAAATCAAACCCACTTCCTACATTATATAAAAAGATAAAGTTAGAGAGTACTTGAACTAGACACTGTTCAGGGTTGCAGGGAGGTTTCCTCACATCCTCCCTCACTTCTTTCTTTGGTACTGGGATTTTGCTGTTATACTAGAGGCTTGGATTTAAAGCTTGCTTGCTTATAATAGATTACACTGCCACTCGCTGGTGAAGGTGTCTGGATTACGACCCAGTGAATCTAGATTTCCTGGAGTCCTATAAAGAGAGCATTTCTTTTTTTCTTTTTTTTGTTTTTTAATGGAATTACAGTTTTGTTTTTCTGAAATGAAAACAGACCTCTTCATTTAAAAAGTTCATTCTGCGGGCCTGCAGGTGGTGTGGTGGTTAAAAGTGCTGGATTCCCACGGAGCTGCCTGCGGTTTGAGTCCTGGACCTGGCAGCTTGCTTTCTCACTTTCTCTCTCTCTCTCTCCCTCTCTGGTCAAATTGAAATAAACAAATGAATAAGTAAATTTAAATAAAATAATTTTTTAAAAAAAGGTAATTCTAGGACCAGCAGGTAGTGTAGTAGTTACATCGCTGGACTCCCACATGACTGACCACAGTTTGAGTCCCAGACCCAGTGGCTTCAAACTCACTCTAGGTATGTGTGCATGTGTGCCCAAGATCCCTGGAGGAGAAGGGATTGCTGTGTGACCATCCCCCTGAGGGGTGATTTCTCTCTCTCTGTCTCTCTGGTGAGCACACATGCCTATAGCAAAAATCTACCCCCCCAAAAAAAAAAAAAAATTCATCCCAGGCATCAGTTAGCTTTATTATTATATTTATATTATATTTAAATACATGTACTAAAATGAAACAAAGGCAGTACATCTACTGTCTGTCTTACTCAGTATTCTGTAACTATTCATAAATCATTTAATCTTTTGGTAAAATGTGAGAATATTTAATAGCATTTCCCACATTGACTTCTCTGGGATTTTGCAGTCTTACCTGGAAAGGGAGAGAGTTAAGACTAGACGAGCTGGAACCAACATGAGGTGTAGTAGTTGGAATGCTGGACTCCCATGTGGCCAGCTGCAGTTTGAGTCCTGGACATGGCAGCTTGAGGCATGTGTGCATCTAGGATATGGCATGGCCATCCCCCCAGAGAGTGATTTCTCACTCTTTTTCTCTCTTTTGGGTGAGCACATGCAACCTATAGCAAAAATCTCTTCCAAAATAAATAAATAAATAGACAAACTATAAAACCTTTTTGTACCTGTAAAAAGGTTTTAAGTTGATATAATTTATCCACATTCAAAAATCCTTAAAGTGGGACCAGCAATTAGCATAATGGCTATGTCACTCGACTCCCATGTTGTTGACCATGGTTCGAGTCCCGGACCCAGCAGCTTAAACTCACGCCGGGCTCGTGTTCGTGTATCTCCAAGATCCTGAGAGGAGAATGGAGGAGAAGGGATTGCAGCGTGGCCATCCCCCCAGGGGGTGATTTCTCCGCTTTCTGTCTCTCTCTCTCTCGCTGGCAAGCACACACACCCGATAACAAAAACCTCTCAAAACAAAACAAAACGAAACAAAATCCTTAAAGTGATTTATTTCTTAGTATGTGATCATTTCTCTGTTGAAAGATTTTTGCTGTCTATTCGTTTTTTAAAAAAAGAATTATTTATTTAATTTTATTTATTTATTCATTTATTTTAATTTGACCAGAAAGAGACACAGAGAAATGGAGAGAGGGAAGTGAGAAAGCAAGCCACTAGGTCTGGGACTCAACATGTGGGAGTATCCAGCACCTTAACCACCACACCACCTGCTGGACCCCTCTGCTGTCCATTTTTAATTCTTAAAGGGAAAGATCTCTTTTTGTCATCAGTAACTATTGTATAAAGTTTTTTTTAAATTTATTTATGTATTTTTTTAGAGAGATTCTTGCTATAGGGTGCATGTACTTGCCAGAGAGACAGACAGAAAATGAGAAATCACCCCCCAAGGGGGATAGCCATGCCACAATCCCTTCTCTTACATTCCCCTCTCAGGATTGTGGACACGCACGCACATGTGCCTGTTATGAGTTTCAAGCTGTCAGATCCAGGAATTGAACTGTGGTTGACTACATGGGACAACATAACCTTTATGCTACCTAGTGGTATCTATTTATTTAATTTTATGATTTTACTCAGTAGAATTATTTTATTTGCTATAGGGCAAATGCGCTCACCAGAGAGAGAGAGAAAGAAAGGAAAGTGAGAAAGTGACCCTCCAGGTCCAGGAATTGAATGTGGTCAGCCATGTGGAAGTCCAGCACCTTAACTACCACATTACTTGTATAAAGTTGTGGATTTTATTGTTTTGTTTTGTTTTTAATTTTGCCAGAGGGTATATATGTTTTTGTTTGAGAGGACAGAGAGAGAAGAGAGAGATGAGTGAAAGTGAGAAGGTACGGTCCGCCCAGAAGGAATGGCCACACTGCATTCTCTTCTCTTAGGATTTTTTTTTTTTTAGAGGTTTTTGCTATAGGGCGCATGCGGTCCCCAGACAGAGAGAGACAGAGACAGAAAGCGAGAAATCACGCCCCAGGGGGGATGGCCACACCACAATCCCTTCTCCTTCATTCTCCTCTCGAGATCTTGGGCACGCACGCACATGTGCCCGGCGTGAGTTTTAACCACCGGATCTGGGATGCGAACCATGGTCAACTACGTGGCAGTCCAGCATCATAGCCATTATGCTAACTGC